CCCGTTCCAGTAAGTATATCTGAAACTGTGCAGGAAGAAAAATATTTAATATTTTTCTCTTCCCTTTTGAAACTTCCTAAAAGTTTTCTTCCCGGAGTATTTTAGCCACCAAATCAGAGAATGCTGAAAGCAAAGCTCTGCGACCTGTATCAGGCGGGAGTGTGGAGAGATAGAGGTAGAGGGGAGGGCGGAGAGAAGACGACTGTATGGCGTTCCGGGGCGGTGCCAAGACCAAGATCAAAAATTCCAAGAGCATCAGAAAGTGGGAGGTTGGGCCTTTATATAGGCTGACTCACAGTTGCCCGAGAGTGCTGGCGTCAGGGGGGGGGCTGGGCCCGGCGACTGGCTGGCGGCAAAAGCAGCGATGATGGTCGCGCTCATCCATGGATTCACTCAGACTCTCAGTGACTTAGCGCTCCACTAGCGGCTCTTGGGTGGCCAACCCTTCTTCCCAGCTCGATTCCGTCATCTCTGGTTTGTTGATCAACAGACCCACTCAACGCAATCTGTTTGGGAGCCCCACCAGGTCGTACACGCTCTGTTTGGCTGTTGCCCCCTTACGTATTCTCCCGGTCAGCGCCATGGTTGCAGCCACTGTCGTTTCCTCCAGTCCGCTGTCCTCCTGCTCTTGATGTTCGGTCCCACCGCGCAGCCTATCCATTCCCTTTTTCTTCCAATCATTCCGCGTTGCTGTTCTCGGGGTTTCCCTCACGACGCGCCCTCGTTCCCTTTCATCGTGCCGCTTTAACGGTAGGCAACTGAACAAAAATTTCGCCTCTCCCTCTTCCATCACCCATGGACACAACTTCTCTCTGACTCCTTTCCCTTTATTTTTCTTGCCCTTCTGGGTAGGTAGCGTTGCAAAATAAAATTATACATCATGGCTGAGCGAACCTTGAAAGCCAGAAAAAAAATATATATATATGTATGTATAAAGGAGCGAAGAAAGAAAACTTGAAACCTGATCCTTCCTCTCGGCAGGGACTTGAGGTTGACAGGTAGAAAAAGTCTGCCGTCTCATCCGTAGAGGCTACGGTGTCCTAATTGGACCCTCAACAATCGCCGCTCGAGACACGGTGGCGCCGACCGCTTTCCCCAGATCTTTAGCCAAATTTGTGTGATCCACCGAACTTGCTTTTTGAAAAGAAATGCACATCCCATGATCTGTCAAATTACAATAAACATCCGATTTTGTACAGGTGTTCACTCCTAGGGTACAGTATTTACTTTGATAACGCATGGTTTGGTATTTTACATACCTCGGCGGTATGCTGAATACCATACACATCGGACGGTTGAACGAAACAGTGAAGATGTGCCTTTTATGTATATTATTAGGCTTCTATTAGCATTCCAACGGTCTTCAACGTTGAGTCTGCAAGTGTGTATCCTGGACGAGTCGTCGTTTCGAGTCCATTCCAGGAATGGAGCTTTTCTTAAACAAAAAAGCGTGCAGGGTTCGGATGATGGCGTTTCTTTTCTCCGTCTCATCACATGCCCGCGTTGGTATCAAAGCCATTCTCTACTACTAGTACTAGCCTCCGTGCAGTACGCGCGAATGAAATGCTTGTTTGAATTCCAACTTCTCTTCTTCCTCCCATGGAACTTCACGTGAGATTATCGTTCATGTGATTGTATATTTATCATGTAGTTGACTAGCAGGGTCATTTCCTTCTCGGTACACCAAGTGCTGAACCTGCACAGATACTATGGCATCTTATCAGGCGAAACGTGATAAGCTTGCATCAGCAGCTATATAGACCGAACCCCGCCTACATACTCCGAATTTCTCAAGAGGAGGGATACTACAAGTATATAGGCTGTATGTCCCCAGTACTCCGACGGATAGCGGGCCAACAGCGGAACAACGAGGCGGATGTGATTCCTATTGCCGCGATTCCTATTGGTCGTCCTTACCTCGGGTAGGCGGTAACGCAGACTGACCACTAGCCTCCCGCTAAAAGAGGACTTAGTCACCTTTTTATCTTTGCCGGTGACGGAGGGGATTTGACCTTGAGTGCTCCAGTACCGATTCTAACCATTTAATCCAATTCCTTCCCCTCGGGCCCTTTTTAACAACGCTGTATACTCTCTGTCATGCATTTGCTCGGCATATAAGGCCTCTAAACCGTGCGCTAATCTATTCCTACCCGTTTTCTACCGTTGCGATGGCTTCGAAAGGAGCCGTTTTGCCTCTCTTAAGGCGCGAACTGCGACCTGCTTCCGCCCGATTCTCAAGAGCTTCGTTCTCATCTGCCGCGACCCCTCTTCGGAGCTCTAGAAACTCTGCTTTGACATCCGGTCGGAAGACAACCCGTCAGCCAGCACTCTTCACGCCGAGTCAAACTCTCGGCCAATTTCGATGCTTCTCGCAGTCGCTATCCAACAAGCTCACAGACGAGAATGGCCACTTTGATCCTCGCCAAGTGGAAAGGGAATCGGACGAGGTCGATGTTTGTATTGTTGGTGGCGGTAAGGGTCTCCCCTTTCACTTTGCTCAATATCCTACTGGGAGATCTAGGTAGCTAATGAAATGCCTCCACCGGTTAGGCCCTGCTGGTCTTGCAGCAGCGATCCGCCTAAAACAGCTGGCCAATGAAGCTGGTAACGAAGAGTTTCGTGTTATTGTGTTGGAAAAGGCAGGCGAGATAGGCGCACATATTCTCTCGGGCAATGTTCTAGAACCGACCGCTATAAATGAGCTTTTACCAGACTGGCTCTCGGAGGATAATCCCTCAAGATTCGAGGGTGCCACACCGGCCAAAGGAGACAAGATGCGCTTTTTGACTAAGAACTCGGCAATTCCCATTCCTGCGCCACCGCAGATGAACAACCACGGCAATTATATCATCAGCTTGAACGAGTTGACCAAATGGTTGGGTGAGCGAGCCGAGGAGCTGGGTGTGGAAATCTACCCTGGATTTGCTGCCAGTGAGTTGGTCTATAAGCCTGACGGGTCGGTGCTTGGTGTCGCAACCAACGATCTCGGAGTAGGCCGTGATGGCAAAGCTAAGGAGAGCTTCGAGCGGGGTATGGAGTTCCACGCTCGTATAACCCTGCTGGCAGAGGGTTGTCATGGTAGTTTGACAAAGCAGGTCATCAAAAAGTATGATCTCAGACGCGATAGTCAACCGCAAACCTATGGAATCGGACTAAAGGAGGTCTGGGAAATTCAGCCGGAGAAGTTCAAATCGGGCGAGATTATTCATTCTATGGGTTACCCGCTTCCCAAGGATACCTATGGTGGATCTTGGTTGTATCATTTCGGGGATAACATGGTCAGTGTTGGAATGGTGGTTGGCCTTGATTATCCTAACCCGTGGCTCTCGCCGTATGGGGAGTTCCAGAAGCTCAAGCACCACCCTCTTTTCAAAGAGGTCCTGGAGGGTGGTAAGTGCATTTCGTATGGTGCCAGGGCCCTGAACGAGGGTGGTTTCCAGTCGATCCCGAAGTGTGCATTCCCTGGTGGCGCCTTGATCGGTGACACTGCTGGATTTTTGAATGTTCCTAAGATCAAGGGTACCCACTCGGCTATGAAGTCGGGTATGCTGGCTGCTGAATCCGCTTTCTCAGCATTGCAGGGTAAGCAGGACGATGCAACCGTTTTCCTATTTGACTATGAGGATGCTCTTCGAAAGTCGTCGATCTGGAAGGAGCTGTACGAGGTGCGCAACATGAGACCCTCCTTCAGTACTCCGCTCGGTATTTACGGCGGCATCATGTATTCCGGGTTGGAAGCCTATGTTTTGAAGGGCAGGACCCCATGGACACTCAAGCATCATAGCACAGATGCTGCAGCCACCAAGCAAGCTTCTGAGTGCGAGAAGATCGAGTACCCTAAGCCGGATGGCGTAATTAGCTTCGATATTCTGACCAGCGTGAGTCGGACCGGTACCAATCACGAGGAAGACCAGCCGGTACACTTGCAGGTAGCAGACTGGGATAAGCACAAGGACATTGCTTGGCCTAAGTACAAGGGGGTTGAGAACCGGTTCTGCCCCGCTGGAGTATACGAATATGTTGAAGATTCGACCAAGGAGCACGGTGTTCGGTTCCAAATCAATGCTCAGAAGTAAGTGATTCACGACTAGCTTTCTCATGGCTTTTCCATGTACTAATCTTGCCTTTAGTTGCATTCACTGCAAGACCTGTGACATCAAGGTGCCGACACAAGATATCAATTGGCAAACCCCTCAAGGTGGTGAGGGTCCCAAATATTTCATGACCTGATCGACTCCGGTATTGGATCTAGGTATGGTCATCACTAGGTAATTTCCATTGTCATATTTCGCCTTGTATAAAATAAAAGCAGCTGATTGGATTGGGCCGGGTTCTTGTATATAGATCTTGTTCAAATATTTATGTTTCTTCTTTTTGTGTGGTGACTTCGCAATGTTTCTCTAGTGGGATAGAGAATAGGAACCGTAGCAAACCAAATAAAAGCAATATTCCGTAACATGATCCTCTGTAGATGAAGTGTAGGACTTAGTACTACAACTTTATAGTAAGGTACCCCAAATCGGTCTTGCGGCTCATCCCCGTGGGGACTTGATGGGACGGAACCGTGGAAATACCTCGAAAGGTACGGTGTGCTCCGAGTATACTAATAGTATACTGACCCATTTGTATGTATGTACATAGGTACAAACATACAAACATGTACGCTGTGCCAGTACCAGGCTCTGACTGCTGACATGTGTAATGTGTATGTAATCGACGACTAGTAACTTATGTTCACGGTGTGTGCGATTCAATCTCTTCTCGGGAGTTTAAAGAAAAAGTGCAGTATCCATTATTCTCCGAGTTAGAAAATACAGTTGACCGTCATGAACCCCTTGACTAGTGTGAATCCATGCATACATTTTCTTACTTCTCTATTTCATTGATGCATGCAGTCTGATTGGAGGTCAACACAAGGCTGGAATTTCATTGATTGCCTTTGGCTGTTGGCGGGGCCACGTGGACCCGCCAGAAAAAGTGAGGCGAAGGCTCTCCGTCACGCTGTTTGGCTCAACTGATTTTGCATTGTTTTCCTCCAGCTGGAAAGCTCCAAGAGACAAGTCACTTTGCCTTGGTCACTGTTGGTACGGGGTACTTGACGTCTCTTTTCTCCTTGCACCAGTTTATTTTTAAACTTTTGGTTCTTGCCGTTTCGTCTGGCGGTCAACACAGACCATCTTTCTCTGTCTTTCTCTTTTTACTCTGCCTCCCTCAACTCTTTCCCCTCTCCTTATCCTCCTCTCGCGCACTCTCTTCTTTCTCTGCTCCCGCTATCTAGCTTTAGTATATTCTGTTGGCCGATAATCTAACACTGGAAGGGTCATCCTTCAGCGATTTAAGTTAAGCCACCGAGATCCCCATTGCCCTCTAATTAGGCGCCACCAGCAACCTTCTGGACCAGCGTCCCACTTGGGAATTCAGGAACAATAGCCATTATTCCGTTAGGACCGCGGCCCTCTTGATCCCAAGGTCTCGTCTTACCCCCGGTTTGCGTCGAATATCGCCGTTTAACCTGGAAGTGATTATCTTCATCGTACTTTTTGGCCGTTGCGGGTCCTGAGGCCAGAACTATCGTACTGGGGTTTCTTGTTTACTTGATCAGTACTAGACGCCATTCTTCTTTGCCGTCATGACTGAAGTGTCGTCCACGCGACTTTATCTCGGGAATCTTCCCCGCAATGGTATGCTGCCGTTTATCAATCTCTTCTCTGAAAGGTTCCCCTCGATTCTCCAGCCCGATCGGAATGTTGCCCTTCTAGCCTGCTGCGCCCCAAGTACCAGGATGCCCCGATGGATCGCCAAGGCTCTCCTCTCATTGGCTCTGATGCGCAACAAAGGGAATTGCGCTGCATCCGCTGTTTTCTCCCAACGCTCGCCAGGTGCCTGTCTTATAGAAGGGACCGGCACTTATTCTCTGTCCTTTCTTTTGTTAAAGCACTTCCAACTCCGGATTCCTATTGGCAACCCATAGCACCCTCTGGATAACTTTGTTATATTTGATTGCAATGAGCTAACATTTTCTCGCGGTGCCCTACGTGGGCGCCATGGGAGGTCTTCAGTCACCAAGCAGGATATCGAGGAACATTTTAGCACCCATGGCTCCGGAAAGATTACAGAGATCAAGCTTATGAACGGTTTCGGATTCATTGAATATGAAGATGCGATGGATGCTAGAGATGTTGTACCAGGTAGGAGGTTGGTCCCCGACAGCGCGTATATATGGCTAATATTGTTGTTCTTCAGCGTTCCGTATGTATTCGGTTTCGCGCCGGTTCCTGGACTAATTGCGCGTCTGACCGGATCTTCTCTACAGATGGCAGTGATTTTAAAGGCGAGCGACTCACTGTACAATTCGCGCGGGGGCCACGTCGCAAGGAGAACTTCCCTGGCCCAATGGACCGTCCTAATATGCCTCGTCCCCGTCGCACGGTCTACCGTATGATGGTTTCTGGACTCCCGGAAACAAGTTGGCAGGTTAGCAGCCCATGTCTATTTTTCTCAGGATTCCTGGAACGCCGTGCACTTTGGCCGATGAGTGCGTGGCATACTACCCCGCGTACCCCCTGATTTTCCTATGTCTCTTGCCTTGTTCGCATGGATAGCACTCCCCAAGGATTCGACTCGGCCATGGTATAACCTCCCATTTATGGCATTTGGATATCCTCCCCGGTGGAGGAACGATTCCAACCCTAGCACCCACGGTACTTCCAAGGCACACTCATTGAACCTCAGCTGCCCTGGGAGCTGTGGTAGGTTAGGCGTTGGAAGATCCCGTTTGGACGGAATACCCACTAGCAGCATGGACTCAGGCCGTTTCTGGAGCTTCCGTTTAGTTTGGTGAAACCGTGGCCTGAATCTGTTTCCTTTTGTATTCTGTTTCATGCGTTCCCTTGGATAATCCCGGACTCCACTATTGCACCAGGAAATCAACTCACACCGCGGAATTCTCTAGGACCTTAAAGACTTCGCACGTGGAGCGGGTCTTGATGTCGTTTACTCGGAAACCGGCCGTGAACTTGGTAGAGGGTGGGTCAATTCATAATAACCAGGACGGCTCTCGGACCCTGTTAACACTAATCCTCAAGGTTCGTTGAATTTGAGACTGCGAATGATCTGAAGACTGCCATTGAGAAGCTCGATGGGCGTGATTTCAAAGGCTCCCGAGTGAGTTGTGTGGCAGATGTAAGAACCAAATTCCGCCTAAGGAGCTGGGATAAGGTCCTCATTTTAATATTCTTTAGATCCAGCCTGTTGATGAGCGCCCTTTCCGGGATCCTTACCGGTCTCGGTCCCCTCGCCGGAGTTATCCACCCGTAGATGAGTACGACCGGAGATTCCCCCCACCTCGGGGCTACAGTCCTCGTGCTCATTACCGGGAGCGCTCCCCAATTCCAATGCGCCGAGATTATTATGACCGTGATGGCTATGGACGCCGTACTCCTCCCCGTCCTCGTATTGATGATTATCCACCTCCACGTCGACCCTATGATGATCCTTATGATGTCCGTCCGCCGCCGCCGCCGCCGCCTCGGTATGAGGATCCGTATATGCCACCAAGGCCTTACGGACGGCCCCGAAGTCCCCCACGGGGTGAATATGTGCCCTATGACCGCCGTGGTTACTGGTAAATACCTGTCTCCTGTGATTTGGTTGTCTTGAATGCGTGGCGGATACCCATGTGCTTCGTGTTCATCCCCCCCTTTTTTTTCTTATGTTCCTTTGTGCTTGCTCGATTCCACTTTCCCCTGCTTTCCAAAAGGAATCGGTTGCGATCCAAGTCTACCCTAATTTCCTGGAATGGACGCACCGAAGATGCGACGCGCCTATTGTCGAAAAAATTTCCGTTTATTGCTTGACATGAGGACAATTTCTGAGGCCCTTGAGCACTTACTAGAAACCCCCCCCCCGGCGGAAAATCAAAGGAAAAGGTATGCGACGACAGCCTAGTCGCTGTCTATCTTAGCGCGCCGCACGCTTTCCTCGAGATGTGGTACATTTTCCTGGTGGTTGGCCAGCGCTGCGCCGGGTGTTGTGGATCGGGCCGTCTTTCGTTCCTGCAGCATACAGAATTCCCTGATATGATATGATATGATATGGACCAGTTTACGAGGATATTGTACATTGACCAACCAAGTCTATCGCTTTGTTTACCCTACGGGAGGTCTGGATGTGTATTAATAGGAATACCGGAGCTATCGTTGTGGAGTCACTTACCGATGAAATATGTAAACACCTGCGCGGGGCATGGCGTGCCCGGAGTGCTGAAGTAGTATGTATCTAACCGTCATGACCTATGAAACAGTGGTGGTTGAAAAACTCCTGTCTGGGTCCACTGAGCTGAGGCGAGAAATTTGGGTGGAGATAACTTTTTTAAGTTTTCTGGGAACTGCGCCGTACTTCTGGTGTTCAGTTCATACCGGCGTAATATTTGTCGAAGCTCCCCGCACTAAAGAACCCCACCATCATTCTTTCTCAATTCTCCGGACACAGAACCACGAGAAGCAACCGCCATTGATCAGAAGCTGCTTGCGTGGGAAGATAACCTACACGCATTATTTGTTCTTGAGATGTGCATTTGCTGATTCGGTACTACTTTTCTACCAATTGTTGTCAGTGACATTTAGGTGTACTGACGTCAGAGCTATCTTAGCTTTCGCTTGCAAGGACGCCAGCCTGCGAGCAGAGAACAACGCACCCATCTGATTCTTTCTTTCTTTCTTTGGTTTTTTTTTTTTTTTTTTTT